GGCAGTGTTATCTCAAAGGGGCTAAATTTAAAGTAGAGACAGACCAGTGTCTCCTTACTTGGCTGCAAACCATGACATCAAAGAACAGTCGCCTTGTGAGGCGGAGCTTGATTCTTCAAAAATGTCATTTTGACATTACGTAAATAAAGGGCAAATTGAATGGAAACACTGACGCGCTCAGCCGCTCTTTCTAAGCCATTCTGGGGCGCTCTTGATGTATCAAAATTGATATTTTAGTTTTTTTCGTGCATCTTATTATGTGAATTTGTAAGGTAGCACGTCTGCTTTCTCTGCTCAAGTGAGTCCTGAGAGTTTTGAGTGTGAGCTTTTGTTAAAGCTAGTAATTAAAATTGGTTTGCCATCCCTCTTTTGGCTTGGTTTGTTCGAAGGGGGCCGAGTGCTTGCTTGTACATGTGGTCGAGTATCAGAGATGTTGTCGAAGATTCGGCAATTACCTGGACCATGCCACAAGCGAAGGCCAGTTCCTGGCATTCAACTACTGACCCTTTCGTCGTCCGTGCGAGCAGCAGTGTTGACTGCTGCCCTCCGTGACTCATCTGGCGAGGGGGAAGCTGTTATGACCGCCATCAGTAGGCGCCATGCTGTCGCTGAGAAGCGTAGCCGGGCAGCGTTCCCACGCCTAGAACCCAGTTTTCTCGGAACCAGTGTCCAGAGATGACGGGGGAGCGGCGCTCTTTTAATCCTTTAAGAGGTAGCCGACTGGTCGGCTGCCTATGCCCGCCAGGTATTGTCCCTGCTAGCCGGAAGATGAGACGTCGTGTCGCCACGAAGCTGTAAGCCGTTCCAGAGAGGACAACAAAGACAGCGTCTTCCTTTGAAGAAACGGCGACCGCCGCCACAAAGTGCCCTGCTAATTGAGCGGACAGATTGGCGGACCGTTTGATGTCTGCTGTCTGAAGCTTGGGACCCCTCGACCAGCGACACACACGACGAGCAAGAGCTCCACTAACGCCACCTTTCAGTGCAGTGATCTCGACTCAAAATTGGATGTTCACGTGCGCCGTGCATGCTCGTACCCCTGACCTGTTGTGTGTGTGTGATTGGTGTTCCCATCAAGAAGGAGGAGCCCGACAGGGCTTATAAGGACGCTGCAGAGTGCAGGACGTCGCTCTGAACCATGTAAAGGTTCAACCACCACGTTCGTAGTTTGTGAAGGCTCTGAACTATGTAAAGGTTCAACCTCCACGTTCGTAGTTTGTGAAGGCTCTGAACCATGTAACGGTTTAACCACCACGTTCGTGGTTTGTGAACTCCTAACCTACCATGCTGTAAATAAGTGTAAATAGTGCCATAAACCTGTTTGTTTTTCGTATCCCCATTTTGTCAGCGTTCGTTTCCTCAACCCGAAGCTACACCACGCTACCACAAGAGACCGGGATTTGTTTTCGTATCCTCCAGCGACATTCCTTCCGACCCGCAACAACTGGTTGGCAGAGGTGGGATACGACTCAGCACCCCGAGCCGCAACAATGTACAACGCCGTCGCCGAAGCCAGGGCACTCTACGCGTTCTCCTTAGTCACTCTGCGTGCGACTCAATGGGAGACACTCGAGACGGCACATCGCGACATCATCCGCCGCCTCTTTGAATTGCCTCGAATGTCACCAGTGGACATGACTTATGCCTAAACGAATCAGTTTCCCCTCTCGCTCAGAGCCAATGCTTGTGCTCTGCGTCACGTGGAGCGCATGGACATGACGGGAGGAGGCAAGGCGCTGGCCCATCGGCTCCTGTCGCTGCCCGACACTGGTATGGGCCGCAGCGCGCTGCAGTACGCCAGCCTTATCTCCGGAGCCCTTTTCGCAGGACTCCTGCCTATTCCTCCTCACTGGGACTCCCGGCTGCCTATTTCGATCAGGGTTCCAGGTATGCGCAGCAAGGGGCACACACCTCGGGCTGCCCTACCACAGGAAACCTGCGCCATGATCGAAGAGCGGTACTCCGGCCACCTCTATCTGTACACGGACGGCTCGGTGAAGGAGACGGCTCGGCTGCTGCTGCAAGCGTCATTCCGGTGCTCCGAGACGAGAAGAAGTGCCGTCTTCCGCTCCCGGCGACATCGACGACCGCGGAGCTCGCGGCATTGAACTTAGCGGCCGATCAGCTGGCCGAGGGGCGGCCGCCATCGGCCGTCGTCTTCTGCGACTCTCGGGCGGCGCTCCTCACCCTCGCGAAGGGTGAAAATGGCCCTTTGATCGCGCAGCGTCTCACGCGCAAGTTTACTGTGATCGTGCGAAGTGGGTGTGCTGTGTCCTTCCAGTGGGTGCCCTCGCACGTCGAAGTGCGCGGCAACGAGGCAGCCGACGCGCTAGCAAAGGACGCCCACGACCCCTCCACACCCGCAACGAACTTCGTACACAGTTTCGATGTGGCGCGGCAGATCATCGCACGCCACGTCCGCGCTCTTCACCTGGACCCCCCGCAGAGCAGCCGGCAAACCTGTCGCACGCCTGCCGTCAACGGGAATCGGTCGGCGTGCTCGAGCTTTCTTGCTGCGCCTTCGTACGGGCACGGCCGGGCTAGAGAGCGAGCGGCGCTGGCGCTTTTACGGCCTTCGCAAGAGGCCTAGTTCCTGCCTGCGGCCGCTGCTAGGAGCTGGCGCTGCGGGCCAGCCATGCAGACGCGCTCGTCTACCACTCCGCGCGCGGGCGAGCTATGCCAACACCACCTAGAACTAGAGAAGGCCTGTGCAGGGCTGCGTGACGTCACCGCAGTGAGATCAGCCTAAAAGTCGGCTTCACCCAATGCTACGCTTTTTCTTTCCGAAATGTCATTTTCCCTACATTATTATTATTATTTTCGCGGTTTCGGAGTGCACAGAATACTTGCATTAAGGAATATTTTCAGTATGTTTTAACTAAACGCTGGCTTGAAATAATTCATCAGGCACTCGTGAAATTTTTAACAGCATGCACAGCCGTTTCGTGCAGTTTAAAAGAGACTTAAATTTTCGTTGTGAGACATATTTATTCGTGATACATCAAAATCCAAATAGGCAGAAGAATTCATAAGAAAGAGGTTATGCTTGAAGAGTACTGAGCCTTGCTTTCAGTTCCTTTATTTTCAACTTTGTTACGCTTTGCAGCCTTGCTTTCATTCAGCTTGTTATTTTGAACTTTGCACAAATTATTCAGCAGCGTATTGGCAGCAGCACTGAGAACATAGTTTAAGACAAGTTCAGATGAGTGGCCACCATCGCAGAAATCCAAGTCTTCATTGCACTCAACAAGGGAAGTCGCGAGGCTTACAAGAACTTCTTTTTGTTTTGCGCAAGCAAAAAATTGTGATGCGTACTTCGGACTTCTCAGCTTGTCAAGCACAATTTCCATTGTGAGCACGGCATTCACAACTACCGCTTGTGGAAATTTCAGTCCACCACGCGTTGCATTAGCTATCAGCACATCATCATCCAGTTCAATGGTCCGATTCTCAACAGTCAAGTTTTCCTGGCAGGAAGAGCAGGCAAGTTTCCTAACTGCAGCATATGCACAATGTCCTGCTACACATGTAATAGCTGGTAGCATTTTCTCCTTCTCCTTCACATCATCGTCCATCACTGCAACATCAAACTGCTTAACAAGGAATTTCAAATCAGTGGTAGGAATGCAAGGTGCAATGGTATCCAAGTTGGGAAGATCAAGTAGCTTCTGAAGTCTCAGCTTCTGCTCGGATTCATAAACCTGACGTATCGAAACGTGGTATTGGGCACCAGACAGCTGCCTGTACCTGCCAAACCTGTCTTCCAAACTGTCGGTTTGAAATTTCCCTAGCAAAACGTATTTGAACCGAAGTTCTTCAATGCAATACGTTGACACCTCAACAAGGGCATGTGAGGTATGTCGCAGTGTCATGTGCGTTTCGCGAGTTAACTGGCCAGCATCATGCTTCAAGCTCTGCCAGTGGTCCAACCAATCCACAATCATGTTTAGAAACTCAATTTGGTGGTATTGCAGTGCACTTATCGGTTCTTGAAATGGGTCTCGGAGACGCTGACCTTTGAATGGGGTCTTGACATTCACCACATTCCACCATGTCAAAACAATGTTAATAAGTTCCAATGTACCAGCTTTATGCTCAAGTGCGACTTTGGTGCTTCTTAGTGCTGCAGCAGTTGAACTGTTGAAGATCCTCAGTGCGAGCTTTACAATTTGTCGCTCTAGATTGGATAGATTCAGCGATTTGAAGGACAAAGTTGGAGCTAGTCGCAAAAGCTCATTTTTTTCTCCTTTATGCAACTTGCATAGTGTGTTAAACGAGGCTGTCAGGACAGATGGGTTTTCCGAGAGGGCACTGAAATTGGGAAAGAAGATGCACCTTCCACAATTACGCTGATTCAGCCAGTTATTTCGGATACACTTTAATATATGCACTGCATTCAGAATAAAAAACAAGGGTCTTGATGAGTCTGACGGGTGCCTGTATACAATGCTCACTTTGGGAGGATCAGCAAAAAATGACATAGCCTTTCGGTTGATCGAGTTGTTGTCAGACACCACTGCAACTACTCGTATTCCAATGTCTTCTAGGTGCCTGATCAGCAGATCAAGAAATTCGTGTAGCTGTTTCGCTTCTATTTGTGCTACTGGAAGTATATGCACAACATCCTTGTTTGATGATAACAAGCTTTGTATCATAAAGACGTATGCTGTCTTTGCCGCATTTTCATTGTTTGTCGCGGCACGAGTGACATAACCACCCTTGTACTGAAAGGATGCCTGCAGGTGGATCTCATCCATCATAAGCGTCACAAAGCGCTCATGGTCTTTTAGTGTTGATGCCAGTCTCCTTGCATAAGAAAGGAATGAATCCTCTTGTTGCTCTCTGGATGGGCTAGCACGGTAAGAGGCACAAATGCGTCTTATTGTCTGTGGATGTGGGAGCTTTAATTTTGCTGTACTCCTGATGAATCTGTATGCGTGCGGCGATATTGTGTACACAAGGCTGCAGAACACGAGAAAGTCAGCTGGGTAAGTCGACGCCTAAGTGAGGAGAACTTGAAGTTGCTGTGTCACAAATTTGACGACTTGCACTTGCCACTCATGCGGGAGAGCTGAAGATGACAGTTGCTCCAGGAGTGCCACGACACGCTTCAGCAGAATCTCTAGTTGGAGTTCATTATTTGTGGAATCCTTCGTGACGTCTTCCACATCGCACAGAACTTTGTGAAGCACTCTCAAGTCAGAAATTGCCATAGGAAGCACAGAGGAACCTAGGTTTTGTAACCTCATTTCACCAACATACACTGCCAAAGAAAGGTTGGATGCCACTGTCACTGCACGATGCACAACTGGGGCACCTTGGTCACTGAAGTTGAGGAAAAGTACTTGTTTCTGGGTGACCACCTTGGTCCAGAAGTCAGTAAGAGAGAGGTCACCTACTGCTGTCAATAGGTCTTCGAAAGTGGCGATGACATTCTTCTTTTCTTCCGCTTCGTGAGACTGCTCTGACAACCGTATTGCTTCTTGCAACGCTTCTGCGACCACACGAGCGCGCTTTTCTTCTGGGCTCTCGCGTGCAGAAGTTTCTTGGCGGGACAAGTAAGCAGGGCAATTAGGGAAAAGGCTTGGGATTGCAGAAGGCTTCAAGCGCCTCAGCTTGAGGGGTACTTCAATTACTTTCCCAGTCATGCTGTCAGTGTAGCTGGTGGAGTCTACGAAGTCACTTTCAAGAAAGTGGTGCTCACAGACCTGGAACATAAGCACAAACAACAAAGTATAAGATGAAAGCGACAGAATTATACATAACAGTTTTACAGAATTATATGATCCCAGTGCGCCGTTTGTAAAGATTAAGACAAATTCTTTCGCTTTATTTATCTGCTTCTGTACGGCAACCACGACCACGCAGTCAACATGAATGACGTCTCACTTAGCGAACCTTGCTTTGAGACGGTAAACCACGAGCCATCGTTTGTTTGGTGCTCAAGTAGTGGCGGACGCCCCACATGTAAAGTAACTACGCCGTCTACATCGTATGTTCGACGCAGGCAGTTTTACTCGCGAATACATTGCGCTAAATCAATTTCTGATTAGGCAGAACCGCACATGAGCAACCTGAGGCGTAAACATGGCACTATACACTTTACGGCACGAACATGGAACAATATTACACTGAAACACACCATTTGCTCAGTTGTCAATCCTTAAGGTGCATAGCGCGTCGTAACGGTTGCATGCGTCACGCAATTAACTAGACTCTGTTCCCACGAGAAGCACGACTGCCAGAAAACAAACGGGAACATGTGCTTACCACAGTGTACTTCGTAGGTGTGAAGTTTTCCCGCCGCACAGCCTTCGTCCACGCTGCATTTTGGGCGGGGTCCAACGGAAACCTGTACACGCGTGCTCGCGGTCCATTAGCGTAGTTCGATCGACAGTTCGGTGCACAGCAGCACCCAGGCATTTTCGCCAGCACACCAGCAAACGTTCATGCAGCACGCCTGAGCAACTGAGTACAAAGAAAATGCACGCCAACAAGCTGCAGCACTGGAAATAGTGTCAGCGTTGCCAGATGCTTAGGCTGATACCGCTAGCATTGGTGCTCTTATGTATTCAAGCCTGCAGTATATCGCAATTTTTATAACCAGTACTGCGCCGTATGAATAGACCATGATGTAAATGAAAACACATATAAATTTTTCTTATTTTCTGGATCAAAAAACACCTTGCGGCTGCCACATTCAATAAACAGTTTTCTACCCACAACGCGCATGCTGGCAGATGGATTCCGTACTAGCCACAGCCGAAAACCAAGCCGAGCCGCGCCAGTTCCCGTGCGCGCCGTGCGCTCTCTCTGCTCGCGTCGTCGGGCTTGCAGATCTCACTGTGGTGACGTAGTTGGTGTGGAGAGGGGGACATGCGCGGGCCTTCTCCTAGTTCTAGGTGGTGTTGGCTATGCGCGGCCTCTGCTCTTCTTTTTTTTTCACTACAATCACCGCTACTGGCGTACGCAGAAGGGGGGTTAAAGGGGGCCGGGTAGGAAGAACCAAACGAAGACTGCGTGCCCATCCCAGAATAATGGTTTCTGATCTTCGGCTGATTATTTGTGTCGCACGCTACGCTCCAGCCCACGGCCGGGCTAAAGAGCGGCGCCGCGCGCGCTACAGCGCGCGCCGCTTTCTCTCTAGCCCGGCCGTGACCAGCCATACGCGACTTCGATGTATGTTCTCAAAGCGACGATGAGCCATTTTGAAATTTCTCTGAAGAAATTAATAAAATAATTACAAAATTCGACAGAACGTCGAATCGCCCTAAATTTTTAGTGTATCGTGAATAAATTACAAGCTTTGGTTTTTTTCTGTTGTGTGGTTTAATTTTTGTGTACTTTTTTGGTCTTTCACGCTGCCCTCCCTGCCCCCCCCCCTCCCCCTTTTCTGAACTGAAATCCTAAGTACTCCGCTATCGTGGGCGTCCGCCATCGGGTGCAACAAACAGAATTGCTGCAAAATTTTGCTCTCCGCGCAGCGTGATTGATTCGCCTTGGCTCGTTTCAATGTTTCGGTTTCATATGCAGGTTGAAGTACTTAGCGGCGTACTCTAATTGTCATAGGTTACGACTTAAAACTTGCAGAGCGTTAGTTAGAAATCTTTAAAAACGCATGCCGAAGAAAAAGCATCGGGGATAATCTGTGAACTGAAAGGCACCAGGCAAACTCGAAACGAGTTTATTAGTTTATTATATGGAAACGAGTTCGCGCACCAGAAAAATCATCTTCGGCGTGACAGAACAGTCTTGCACAAAAGAAACGTTGTTCGAGCTGGAGAAGCTTCACAGTCGGAAGTGCTTCCTTGACGGCTTATGTGTATAGTTCATGTGCTTTTCATTGTCGTCGGTGACTCGAGTGGAGTGATTCACTAAAAGGATCATGAAGAATTTGTCAGCAATCAAACTTGCTGACCGTCTTCCGTGACTATTGTCAACACTTTCGGGGCAGTTCAGCAGAGGTACGTCCTCAAGATGCGGTCCTACGAGCAGCTGTAGAACTTCGAGAACATCCGTGCGTGGCAGGTGTTTTGCTATTTTCTCGAAGAATGTGACGATCCCGTTGAAAAGTGCAAGGAACTCTGGCCTCGGGTAGGCAAGGCCGCTTCAGTCCTGGCCTCTCAAAAGCGCGTACAGTGGCTGATCTTTGTCGCTTGTAGTGAGGAGCATGGCGCAAGATTCGCACCCGAAGTCCGTGATCAGTTTCGCGATGTAACCACCGACGTAGGCCAAACCAGAGCATGTCACAGACAGTGGGGGAGCGGAAGTACATTCCCTAAGCTCTTTCAGGTCGTCAGAGAACGTCACCGACAGGCTACTGACCAACTTGTCAACATCAGTGTCGCACGTCACGACTTCAGGCGGCCTTGCGAACTTGGATTTTACAATTTGGTCCAAAGCAGCCGTCTTAGCCCGGGCGTCGAGCATGTCGTTTCCACCGCACATGTACCTGACTCTGCCGAATACTGCTTCTATGGGTCGCTGTTTAGCTTCCTTGTTAGCACGTAGTTGATGCCTTGGGTTAGGAGGTATCGAGTTGTTTCCACTGTTGACTTTGTAGTGAAAAGCAGGGCCTCAAACGTTTCGTCGCTGAAAGCGCCCTTCCCATAGGCGACTGAGCTTGCTTGTACTTTCTTTACATAGCACGTGAAGTCATTTTCTAGCCACAATAGCCGGCCATCGTCCACGTCTGCAATGGGGGCCTTCTGCCCCGTTCCCTCGAAAGAGGTGTCGTGCATATCAAACCAATCTTTCATTGTCCTCATGAAGTGCATGGTGAAACTTGCTCGCCTAAATGCGGAGAGTGCAGGGTCATTGCGGGAGTTTTCTTCGAGGTGTTCCAGTGCTGCACAAACCTGTGGGGAGAAGATCTGAACCGCACGAAGTACATTCATCTTCTCCAGGTTTGTAGGGTAGACGT